CTGCGGTCTTCTAGAAAATACCTACTTGCTCCAATGGTCTCAAAGCATTAGCTTTGCTCTCAAAAGTTGGCTTTCCTCAAAAAAGTATATATAAGGAAAGCAACTGTATTTTACTTCTCAATCTCTGTGGCTACAATAACTTCCAAAGTGTATCCTTATCCCTTTGTAAGAAATGAACCTGGCTCATAAAGATTATTGCTCCCTTGCAATATTAGCATTATTTCCTTCAGTTTGCAAGGTAGCTAAACAATTCTTCATTTGTATGCTGGCAAGAGACTAAACACAATTCAGAACCATGTCGAGAAGGTGCACCTAGCACACCAATGCCAGACAAGAAGATGTCATTCATTTAGGCACATAATCAGAGTGGGTTAATTATTACAGATCATTAGCTAAATTGTAACTGTGTGTAACCCTATGAAAGATTTCAAGAGCCAAAGAAAAAAAATTGCCTTTGATTACAACAAAGGTTGACTTATCATATTCTTCAAACATTAAAATAACAGGTTTGGGGAGAAGATGTTGGTTAATATTTGGAAGCATCCTAGTTTTCATGGGTTGGTATTAACACTATAGTAGCAAAGTTGATTTTACTCAAAATCAAAGTGCCAACTGACTTAATTGATCAAATTTTAGCACCTTACATGTAGTCAGATTGTACAATTCAAAACGCCAGGTCCAAAAGCCTTAAATATTTAAAACCCAACTTCATTTTCTAATGATCAAAATAGTATTCAATACTATTTTCCAATGCCTTTATAGCCATCTTGCTAAAATTAATGGTTCAGGAGTGCTGTCTTCTATGTAGATTGTGGCTGATAATGGTCATACAGGCTAAACTCACTGTGAAAGAAAAATTTAAAAGTTAAGATAATTTTGTAATTTGAGGAATTCCAAATGTTCAAAAACAGAGAGGGAGCTCAAACAAAAGAGAATTGAGTTAAAAAAAAAAAAAAAGAGGAAGAAACCAAAGCAACCAAAGAAACAAAAAACTGACAAAAAAAAATTTGTCGAACACCAAAATTCTGAAACCAATAAAAAAATTTTCCCATCAAAACCTAAGGATTCATGAGAGTTGGTTTTAACTTATGCTTTTATTCCAGGCCTTGAGATGCTACACAAACTCTCCACCACTGGGCCACTTCCCAGTTGCAGTATTAATTTAAATTAGTATTTTAACTCAGATGTGATATAATGAAAGCTAGACGATAACTCAAGATGCTAACAACAAGAATTAAAATGAGCAGAAGAAGTAGTGAAGGATGAAAGATAAAAGAAAGCAATTTCCAACTACTAATAAGAAATGCCTTAGCTGTAAGTATTATTCTCATGGTTAAAGATTTCATGGCTAGAGCTCCATTTAGAACAAGAGCACAAATGACAATTTCACTTCAAAACCCAAAAGTCAGAATGGCTTTGCTCTTGTTTTGGTCCATCTAAGGGAGGAATTGACAAACCAGGTGACAAGGATTCCAAGGTGTGGAAGCAAGAGGCACAAGCAGATGACTCATCTTTGGCAAGGCTGGAAGGGCTGAATCTGCAAGCAGGTCAGTGGGTAAGGAGAACACTAACCTTTCAACAAACCCTTAAGGATTTCAGCTGGAGAATCTATAAGAATTACTTTGATATCCGGAGACTCCTTTATAACAAAGTAACGTTTTTACAAAGGAACTCTAAGATTGGGTGTATGCTTAGGATATTACACTGCACATTATTTGTTTTGTTGAATTAGTCCCACGACCTAGTGAGGAAAGACTATTAGAATTCTTGCTTACTAAAGGAGAACATGGCAGAGTGGATAAGTAGCTTATGCAAGTTCTCACATCCAGCCTGTGGCAAAACATCCAAACTGAGGCATCCTGACCACAGAGAATGGATTTCAAGTTCATGTCTCATCTCCAATCCAGACATCCTTTTAAAACGCATTTTGTTTTAAATAATCTCTATGGTTCCGTTTTCATAAAAAATAAATTAAAAATATTCCCCTATTCTTTTTCCAAGATATATCAAGACAGAATGCTAAAATAAAAATAATAATAATAATAGTATTTTTTTACTTTGTGGGTAATTATTTCATTTAGACTACAGTAGTTTTGTTTTGTTTCTAATTTTCATGGGAGAAGTACAAAGTAAAACAGAATAAGAATCTTTTTGTTATTGAGCTAACCTGCCCATTACAAATCATTAAATCAAAGAAAATTCATGATAACTTTAAAACCAAGAAAGAGAAAGGGATAGTTATGGAATTTGATAGGCAACTGAAAACAACTTGCTATAACTGTCTCCAGTTCTTTGTTCCCCTAAGCTAAATAACACAAAGAAATTTTTAAATTTCTCTCTATGATGCAACACTGCCATTATGCTTAACTGTATCTCTCTGGCTATATTTGATTTTCAAAAATAAGATCAACTAGCATTGAATAGATGGCTACATAGACATAGTTATACACATGTATGTATATACATGCCATATATATGCACACAGATATCATGGCCAGTTAGGATTGTCAGTCTTTTCTAGCCTCTCCTGGGCCCTGAAAACATTGCTTGCCTTGTAACTATGCTGTGTTTTTAGCTGCATAAAGGACACTGTTAGTGCCTTTTCCAAACATCTCATGTTTCTCAATTTATAATGTCACTTTGTATTCTATTTCAAGCTTCCAAAGAGCACTAGATATTATTCAACCTAATAATATTTTCAGTTATAAAAAATATGATTTTTCCCAGACCCAGATTAATTCTAATGCTAAAAATGTTTTAAGATTTATTAAAATGAAATGCAATATGTGTTGAGTAAGAGTAAATAAGATTAATCAGAAAATAAAATATTTTACATTAGCAGCAATCACAATGTAGTCCTTTAAGAGACTAGAGTGCAGTTTCTACCTAGTTAATAATCTCAATCATCAATGGACAGAAATCCTCTATCAAAAAGAATCATGTGTGCCAGTATAAGCCTTAAAATTTTTTACCATACTAAGGAAACAGCTGTGAGTAGAAGAGATGTCAAAGAATAGTTCCATTATCAAGGCAAAGCAGAGGCTCCTAATTTCAAAGTTGATAGGCTTTCCTTGGTGTCCTAGAGAGGGCCTTGTGTCCACTAATTTAAATACCCTATGCATTCTCTGGTAACTTAGCTAAATTCAGAGCTAAACAAGGTTATATTTTATGTTTAAATTTAGAAATATCTCATCTATTATTCCTTCTCACCTACAAGGTCTTTATTTGATGCGGCCTTTACTAATTACTTTATATCTCAACATTGTTTATTAGCATGGTGTAAAACTATTATTGTTGTGTTGTCTTTCATGACTTTACAAGCTCTGTCTTGTTCACTCTCCCTAAAAAGAAGACTGCATTTTTTTTTTCCTAAATGAGTTACAATAACAGAAGGGATGCAGGTCAAGAGAAGGTAAATGTGTTTTTCCAAAGTAACAATAGGTAACTTTTCAGAAGGTCTCATTTTAACACACTTTCTTACTGTAACAGTTGAATGAATGAATGAACTATGAATATGCGTCATTTTCTTACTTTCTTTTTTGTTGGGTGGTTTTTGAGACAGGTTTCTCTGTGTAGCCCTCACTGTCCTGGAACTCGCTATGCAGACCAGGCTGGTCTCGACCTCACAGAGATCTGCCTGCCTCTGCCTCCGGAGTGCTAAGACTAAAGGTGTGTGCCACCAGGCCAGGTCAGATCTCTTTTTTCACATAAAATCTTACTTTTAAGAACTAAGGGTTGCCGGGCGGTGGTGGCGCACGCCTTTAATCCCAGCACTCGGGAGGCAGAGCCAGGCGGATCTCTGTGAGTTTGAGGCCAGCCTGGGCAACCAAGTGAGTTCCAGGAAAGGCGCAAAGCTACACAGAGAAACCCTGTCTCGAAACACCAAAAAAAAAAAAAAAAAAAAAAAGAACTAAGGGTTTATGAATTCCTTCCTGTGTCAAGAAATAATTGACGCAAGGACCATGCTAGAAACAAACACACACCAGAGCCAGAGGGATTTAATTCCATTATAAAATGCATCTTGAGCCGGGCGGTGGTGGCACAAGCCTTTAATCCTAGCACTCTGGAGGCAGAGATAGGCAGATCTCTGTGAGTTCGAGGCCAGCCGGGATACAGCGTGAGTTCCAGGAAAGGCACCAAACTACAATAGAGAAATCCTGTCTCGAAAAACCAAACAACCAAACAAAACGAATCTTGCCCCCCGCCCCCGCCAAAGAAACACAAGGGCATGTCATCTAACATACGAACCAATATTCTTAAGTTTTTGATGAAGCTAGCCTGCTTTTTTTCTCAACTTTATAAATCCTCTTCATTTTCATTGGACTTGAAATGCATCCCCCTACATTCTCCCCTGCTGCCCTGGAGTCACATTTTCAGCGGGTTGCACACTTGAATTTCGCATGGTCATTCTAATCTAATCGCCCCCCCCCCCCCGACCTCTTCAGAGAGCCTAAATAAGCCTAGCTTTTAGGCAGAGATTCAAAGAGAGGTTATGGGTTGAGTCAGAAGCACCGTAACAGCTTTTCAGGGTGGTCTCTCGCTGCAAGCCTCGCCTCATCATCGCATTCCCTTGGTTGCCACCTGATCAAGGAGACAAGAGGATGCACGAGGGAGGGGAACCACGGCGGGCTCCTGCGGCCCTAAAAATCAAACCACGGCTTCTCTTGGAACTGCTTAAAAAGGCTTTCCACGCGCACGTTATCTGATTCGACCCTCCCAGTCCAAGCCCGTGGGGTGTGCGTCGTCCTCGAGCCTGTTTTATAGGGGAGGTAAGGATCGGGTCCACAGCCAGTCCCCCAGGGCCGCCCACTGCCAGGTGGAGGAAGCAGACGACTGGCTGGAGGGCAGGCGTGCCTGCCACCCGCGGGCCACCGAGATGGGCCTGGCGGCCCCCTCGAGGTCTCGAACCCCCGCACCAACCCCCGCCCAGTCCATTTCCGCCAGGCTGGGCCGGGACCCCAGACCCGGGACGCGCCTCACGAGCCCCCCCTCAGGCTCACCGTGGGATCTCGCCAGACAGCGTCTGCAAGGGACCGAGAAGCTTCGCGTCCGCCGCAGCCTGCCGCGGTCAGGGACCCACAGTCCGAGGCGACCGCGGCGGTGGTCACCCGCAGGCCTTGTGGGTTCCGGCGGGGGGGGGAAAAAAGAGAAAAAAGCCGGACCCAGTCAATCGGCTGACATTGTCCCCCCAGCCAGCCTGGCTCCGCCCACTTCCGCTTGCTCGTCCTCTCCCCCACCCCCACCCCTACCCCCTCAATCCCGCCCTGCGCCGCGGGGGGTTGTGGGTATCCGGAGGGTTTGGCCAAAAAAAAAAAAAAAAGAATGGAGGAAGTAGGAGTAAACCTAGGCGGACTGCGAGCCAGGCCCAGAACTACAGTTCCCAGCAGGCGACGGGGCGCCAGAAGGCGGCTGCTGGAGAGCGGGATGCAGAACTCCGCGCGCGCGGCGGTGATGGAACGTTGCTAGTTCGCGGGTCCGGCAGCTGGGGCCCCCGGGGATCGCTCGGCGCCGCGCGCTGGAGCCGGAGTCTGGGAGACAGGCAGGTCTTCAATTAATGCACACATTCAAAACCCCTGAATCCGTGGACGCAATGCACAGGTAAACGGATTGCAAAAACGGGCAAAGCATGAATGAACCGTTTGGAATTCTTTTAGGCCGCAAATGTTGCTTCTTGCTCAAATATTCTTGTTTTGTGAATGGTTACTTAGCCCCTTTTTTTGAAGAAAGTGGATGGATGCATGCTTTAATGAGAATGTGTGGCTTTCGCTTTGGCTTCCTAATTAGGTTTTCCTCCCACTGTTTTGCATCATGGTATGAATGCCGTCCCTCTTTTTCCCTCCACGGGAAGAAATTGTTGAGGCCTTCTGCGTGACCATAAATTCCAAAGCCTTTCGAAGTAGAGTGTGTATGTGTTTCCGATTTTCTCTTTCATTCTTGGAAACTCGCTGCAGGGACGTTAAAAAAAAGGCAGTACTGTTGCTTGGTGTGACTTTTCTACACTGCATGCTTGACGCTTCTTTCATTCCTACCTTGGAATTACTGCGGGGTGTGCTTTCAAAAGGAATGGGGAATGTGTGCCCTTCTGCAGGAAGCACCTTCAGGAGATTCCGGACCAAAGTAGCAACGTCAGCACCAGCTTCACGTGGGGATGGGATTCCAACAAGACTTCTGAACTGCTATCAGGCATGGGTGTCTCTGCCTTGGAGAAGGAGGAGGTGGACAGTGAGAACATTCCACATGAACTGCTCTCAAACCTCGGCCACCCCCAGAGCCCTCCAAGGAAAAGGCTAAAAAGCAAGGGCAGCGACAAAGACTTTGTGATCATCCGTAGGCCTAAGCTCAATCGAGAGAACTTTCCAGGTAAGTAAGGCATGACCACTAAAATTCAAATTGTGTAAGAAATGGATTGAACTGTTTTGTTTGAACTAAATTGATGGAACTATTTCCTTGTGGGATCTTTAGGATGGGTACCTAAAATTGTCTAATTTTGAAGTGTTGCAGTGTAATGGAAATCAGTTTTTGAAGTCTCCGGAATCCTGGTAGGTCTTTATCTTCTGGTCTCCAATTGACTAGAAACTTTTAACCCACGAGACAGCATTCCTGCCCTTTTCCTTACAAGGGAATCTCCCTGCTCAAAGTCCACTCAGCACACTGATAATGGGAATATAAGCAAGGATCTTAGAGGATTCCTTTAGTCTCTAAAGCACTGCTTAGTACCAGAGTGAACTTAATATCTTAAATTAGGTTATTTGTAGGCACTTTAGGAAGGTAAATGTTGACCTAAGAGGAGGAGACTTACCTCCCTACTCCACTTGCAACAGGCCCTTTAGGGGTGTTGTGTTTCCATTAATGTGGCATTATAGTGGTAGTCATAGAACCCTAAGACTTAGTGTGATCCCCACTCTTCCCCCTATATCCAACTAGTCATTGTGTCTTAACCTCCTGCATGGCAAATGATCCAGCTTTCATCATCTCTTCCTGAATTATTGTAATGTGTTTATAACTTCAGCTTTCTCCTCAGTTCTGTCTCCTGGAGATAAAATGAATTGATTAAAATAGAATTTACTTTAAATTATTCCCTTACCAGTGACTCCCATTCCCTGATTTCCCAAGCATTTTTAAATAAGTGCCTCCAGGATAGATCAAGACTCAAGGCACTTACAGTCATAGGGTAAATAATAGTGTATTGACCTGAGGCATTGTCAGATTTTTTGTTTTTGTTGTTTTTTTCGGTTTGGGGTTTTTTGTTTTGTTTTTTTGTCTTTTAAAAGAGTGATGTGGCAAGTATTTGCTGAGAACACACTATGGTTTCCACAGTATAGTGCTAAGTATACAACAGTGAGCAAAACACACACACGTTTGAATCTTAGAACTTCCCTTCCATTGAGGAAATACTATAAACACAGTGGACATGCTATTTTATGTAACGTGTTAGGCCGTGGTAGCTCAAAACAGAAAGAGATCAAGCTGAGAGAGAATGGAAGTCCTGAAGTCAGAAGATAGACTGCAAACTGGCTAGTGACTAAAACCCTTAGCTAGATGATAGACTTGCAACCTGGGTGATAGACTGCAAACTGGGTATTGACTAAAACCCTTAGCTGGACAGTGACCTTTAAGCAAAGGCAAGGAGGGGAGAGAGCAGGAGTGTGTCATGAAAATGTCTCTTGGTGGAAAGAACCTGAGGCAAAAGGAACAGCCATTGTAAAAGTCTAGATTAAACAATGCACCATGGTGTAAAAGTAGAGTAGGGAGAAGTATGGCACACTGGTGGAAATGAGTAGTTAACAATTTACCTCAGTGAACCCCCCCCCCACACACCCTTTTTTGTTGTTGTTGTTTTGAGACTTGGTTTCTCTATGTAGCCCTGGCTATTTTGGAACTCTAGACCAGGCTGGCCTCTAAATGATCCACTTGCCTCAGTGCTGGGATTAAAATTGTGGACCACCACCCCCCTGCCCATTGAACCCTTTGGTTAATGTTAAGACTTGTTAAGATGTGGGCGAATGATAAGCAGTGGTCAGATTTGGATAGAGTCCAAATGTAGAGACAACAGAATTAGAAGGGTGTTGAGATTGTCCATGGAAGAGGTAACCAAAGTCTACTAAATGGAAACTGGGTGAGCGATGAATGGATAAACAGATTGAGGAAAACATCAAAGTGACGTCTCGCAGAGCCAATGTAGATAAGTATATTCTTAGGTTCTCCCATCTGGCATTATCTGCAGCTGGGGTGATAAGCTGATCCGTTGCTTGCTTTAAAATACCTGTTTTGTAGTCTGGTATGGTGGCACATGCCTTTAATCCCCAGACTCAAAAGCCAGATCTCCTGTTAGATGCCAGCCTGGTCTAAATACTGAGTTCCAGGACAGCCAGGACTACATAGTGAGGCTTTGTTTCAAAAAAACAAAAAAAGGTGTTCTGGCTTTTCTTTTCAAAACTTCTATAGGAAAGGGAGTCTTGTTCACGCGTTGTGGCATGTGAATGCACATTAATTGCCAGGTACACTGGCACATATCTATAGTCCCAGGGCTTAAGAGGCTGAGGTGGGAGAATTGGAAATACTCCAGAAAAGCATGAGGTTTGCGATGAGACTGTCTCAAAACTGGAAACATAACCGAATAAATAATAATATATGAGATTAACTAGAGAGGGATGGTGGTAAGTTCAGACAAATCTGCATTTGAATCCTGATGCTGCCGTTTATCTGTCTTGGAAAATCACTTGAGCTGTCTGTGAAATGGAGCAATAATAATCCCTACTTACTGGGTTGCTGTGAAGATGAATAAAACTAAAGCTCTTATGAAACGAGCATATAATACTTAATACTGGTCAACAAAACTTCTGACACTGGTTTGCGAAGTCAATTGTCTTATATAATGTGATATCATAATGTTAAACTGTCTATAATGATGTTAATCTGACTCTGCCCTTAACGAACTCTTTTTCTTTAAAACTTAATGTGACGCCTATTTTTAGTGCCTGCAATTTTAACACTCGCGATTTGGTGTTTGACCAACCAAATGTGGTGAGAGATACTTCCTGCTAAGATGAGCAGATTTTGATTAAGTTGCCCAATGTGGATAGCTTTGGGTCTGGACTATGACTACTTTGCACGCCCAAGGATGGAAATCGGAGTCATTTTTGAAGCAAGGCACTGTAGGGACCAGACAGAAGATAAGGGAGGGTTGCTGTCGCCTAGGAGTTTAAAAATGGAGTTGAGGAGGAAAGACAAAATACGTAGCAGCTCCCACACAACAATATGTCTGCCAGGAAGACAAGAGTGTGAGGAGCTCAGGCCTTGAGTGTCCTTGGGCTGGAGGGAGGGAGGGAGGGACAGAGGGACAGACGGACGTAGGGAGGAGCCATTTGTGCAAAATAACTCACCTCCCATCCTACTGAATGAGAGCAGTCCTTCTTAACTCAGCAAAAGTAAAGTATAGAGAAGAACTGAACTGGTCCAGTCAATGAGTCTACATTTTGTTGTCTTTGTTTCTTTTTTTTTTTTAATTATTATTTTTTAAGTCAGACCTTGCTGTATAACCCTGGTTGATCTGGTACTCACTATGTAGTCTTAAAATCTCAGCATGCCTCTTGCCTCAGTCTACCTCACAAGAGCTAGGAGGGCAGCTACAAGATACCACACCTGGCATTTGTTTGTTTAAAAGACTCTCATAGTCCAGGGTGACCTTGAACTCATGGCAATCCTGTCTTCGGCTTCCCAGGCGCTCGGATTATAGTCATTCAGCCCAGAAATGAGCCTAGACTTTAAGATTGACTTTTAAAACGAATGTCTAAAACGAGAGAGGAAAAATCATGACTTTCAGGGTTTTTGTGACCTAGGAGATAGGGAAGGCAATGGCATACATTTACACATCCATGGACTTACACATGCATCCATTGGTTAATTGCTGTGGGTGAGGAGTGGGCTCCTGCTGTAAGCTGAGAGACAGCTGCTGTAGGAGTCCCACCAAGCCCCCAGAAGCAGGCACAGGCCTCCAGTGTAGCTGGGTTCTCACTGCAGGGAGGTTTGCCTGCAGTTGTCAGGACAGGTGGCGACTAACTCTGCCAGGATTAGGACAGGACAGGCCCCACCTGCTGTACTCAGAGATCTGGTGACTGGCCCAGGGCTTTTGTTGGTTCATTGCTAAGCAAGATTTCCCCATGGACTGCATTCCAGCCACACATCTGGCAACTAATTCCTCCTCATCTGTTTATG